ATCTTCTATTTTTGTTCGTGGTCACTGACCATGATACTGTTCCATCAACCTTTCGGCTATCTCTTTCCTATATGTTCCAATATCCACATACACTAACATATGATCTAAGAGTCATAATTAATCTTACGATGTGCTTTCACACAGATTACAATAGTGATCTGCTGATACGTAATGAACATTTATTAGATTACGTTTCCCCAAATCACGACCCAGAGACCATTTCTTGTCCTGGACCAGTTTCTAGCGGCATGATAACAACCATTATCCATCGTTGTGACGTCGACCCGTGAGGATCCGGGTTAGAATTGATCTTCAGTAACCCATGCTTGTCGTAAGAGGCGGCTGACGGGATCAGGTGGTCCGGCTGCTGACTTGGTTGACACATGTCATCGTATCCCAGTTCTGTAGATCGATGCTCATACTGCTGATCACTGAATTGTCTGGTCCAGACTCGATTACTGACCGCCGCCATACAGCTGGAATATTGCTGAATGCGGCGTTAAACAACATCCAAACCAAACGTCGTGACGTCACGAGTCAGGTGGGGATTCCAGGAAGTACATTGGTGGCTCAGCCGATGCTTGATGAATGAGAGGCATGGATGGATGGGGTGTTCATGCTCTGTGACTTTGGCTGAGTTCATATCTATACGGAGGATCAATACTCACCATATCAACCACTGTGTTGTCTGATGGAATAGTGCTGATTGCGATGTTAAACACGTATCTGGTTTCTTTTTGTACACACCACCAGTATACCCGACAGCTGATAATCACCCATTTGACAACGTAACACTAATATATGTCACTACTATACTCATGCCAATAAAGGTTGTCACCCCCTTCAATTTTTTTAATTGGAGGGTGTGGGGTGGGGAGGGGGTTGGGGTGGGGAGGGGTGACAACCATTATTGGCATGAGTATATAAGATTGATAACACAATTTAATCAAATGTCATGGCGTTTCATGAAGAGTCGTAACAAAGTAATCGCTTCAAGAAAGAACACACCATGTGTTTGGAGACATGAATTAAATGAGTGACAAACGTCCTGATTCCAGTACTTAACAAATAACAGTCTGTATGAACATAATAATATTTGTTAGTTCTGCAAATTGCAGAATTAGAATTTTTTAAACGTAGTTGTCGTGTTTTGCATCGGAAACCCAGGGAAAATCATCTGTCAAATAGCAGAATTCAGTCGGGGACACGTACATTCCCTGATTTCAGTTAAGTATTTTATTGGGTTTTTTATGTATTCCCATCAAAAGTTTAGACTCACTTAAGCACTCACTATATTGGAGAACCAACTGCAAACCTTATGCAGATGAATTGCACGAGGATCATGCATCAAATTGCATGTGCAAATATCGTGCATGTAAACAGATGCGTTTTGGTGTAAAGTTTTCTTAAGAATTCGCTAATTTTCACTGATTTTTATCACTTACTGAATTCATGACAATAATCTTTTCAACGTTACGCATTTGTTTTACAATACATCAGTTCATGTGTAAACAGTACCTTTAAACAGTATGGAATATTTTGCAAAATTTTGTTTAGAACAGTTGCCTGAAGTAAGTGGCTATATTTACACTAGTGAGTCTAAACTTTTGATGGGAAGTATACTTTGATACGAAGAAGACATTTACGTGTTAAAACGTTCCATGCATATATGTGAAAGGTCACAGATTATACAAAGCCTATACTTTAAGATAGAAACATGAAGTTCAAAGCATAAAATATTGGAATTAGAAAGTTATACATTTTAGATATAATGAATGATAAACGATTCCATTGTTTGAAATATATTTATAAAAATTGAATACTCATGACCAGCTTGTACAGCGAAAAGAGGAATGGCCCCTGACAGTAACGTACCTGGGCTGGAGCGTCAACCGCGAATGCCACTGCCACAATGGACAGCAGCACTAAAGCGATGGTCAGTCTCATTGTCCGGTTTCTTTTCTCTCAGTAATCGCCAGCAAATACAAATATGTACAAATGGACAGTCCGCTGTGGCAATCCCCTAAGTGACTGAAACTACGGGTAGGTAATTACTTTTATATCAGAGTCAATTTGGCAACAGGTGCCGATATCGCACCATCTAATGTTCATAGTGGGATGTTTAATAGCTCATGGGCTCTTCGATCCAAATAGGAATCTATCGAGAATGTAATAAAAGCTTAAGAAAGTGCACTGAAGTATTTGTTGGCGTTTCAAAGCGTGGAATAATGAAGACTTCATTTAGTTCAATATATCGCCAAACCTAACAGCAACAAATAGATCTAGTGGCTGCGAGAACGTGGCCGTGGAGCTTGGGTATATTGTAAGTCATATATCTACATCCACACAAGAATTATACAGACCTGTTACACGGTGTGAACAGATGCAGGTTACGCTCTGCAAAAATGCTAAAACATTTTAAAGTCAAAGTTTTAGAAAAAAAATGAGAAGTTGGGAAGTACAATATTTACAGACTTTATGGATAACAACTTCTTTTATTTCATGAGTGCGATACAGATTCTTCTCAATTTGTGTCCTGCTTGGCAACGGTGCAAGAATCTGTACAGAAACGTTGCACTCACGAAAGAAATGAAATTGTTATCCATAACGTTTATCAGCATTGCAAAGTTTCAACGTTTATACATAATCTTCTACATATTACGAAATATGTTCTCCTACAAGGATTACTATGATCCAGTGTTTCATCATGTTATGATCCAGTGTTCATCATTTTGTGATCCATTGAGCATCATGTTCTAGTCTGGTTAAAAGTTTGAGCTAGGTTATGTACACATCCCTCTTAATATCACATCCTCAAACCAGCCTCACTCACCCAACCATTCACTCACACATAACAAATACTATGTGAAAATTGGACGCTGACAAATGAACAATCAATACCGATAATGATCGATCGTTTCCGTGAAATTGAACTTCAACAAACACGTGGATATAGGACACATATGAAATAGATTCGCTGACACGTCATGATTGTTATAGACACTGAGTCTACACTGAGGTGAAGGGCACACAGAATGACATCAACGTTTGAGGTTATGGGTCAATGTGCTTATCTGGTTACATGAAAACGGAAAAATAACTGAGTGTGCATAACATAAAATTGCATGAAATAAACGTTGTTTGAAATAAAATAATCCTGAATAAATTCCAGACAGCCAGTTTGACTGCTCGGATCATTCCTGGCTTACATCCATTCAGTTCCAGGACTGTAAGGAACCGAATGAGGGGGCACAACACCGGCCCCGGCGTTGTTCAACGTCGACAGTTTGGTTGCGAGAGCGTTATGGTATGGGGCGACATCACATTTCATGGTCGCATGCAACTTGTCATTGTCAGATTTCCTGATACAGCAGAACATTCCGGACCTGTCCCCTATCGAGCACGCTTGAGATGAAATGGAGCGACGTTTACGTCAAGCCCAGAATCAGCCATTGACGTCAGCTGAATTGGGACAAACGTTGGTTCAGACATGGAACAACTTTCCCTAAGCTTTCTTCAATCGCTAAGTGTCGACTATGCGTCGTCGTTGTCGTGCCTGCATCAATGGTGGACACACATGAGAATGAATTTGGGAACTGACCTTTGACACCACATCTCTTCAATGGCGTGTTACGATGCCTAGTGTCAAATCATGTCATGATCTTCTTTCATTACAAAATGGCATAACATCAAATACTGCACAGTTATTTTATTCCAGTAGAATATATTAAAATATATTATTATTATATTGTGTTGTATCGTATCCTATCGGGGGCGGTGGGATAGCCTAGTGGTTAAAGCGTTCGCTTGTCACGCCGAAGACCTGGGTTCGATTCCCCACATGGGTACAATGTGTGAAGCCCATTTGTGGTGTCCCCCGCCGTGATTTAGCTGGAATATGGTTAAAAGCGGCGTAAAACTGAACTCACTCACTCACTCACTCACTCGTATCGTATCGTGTCGTGTCGTGTCGTGTCGTGTCGTGTCGTGTCGTGTCGTGTCGTGTCGTATCGTATCGTATCGTATCGTATTATAACGGCAAGCGGCTGAACATTATTAAACAGAGTTAACATATTTCAAGACATTATCTCTAAAATTCGTTTGTCAAAAAGTATCCTGTCATGTTTGCCAAGTGTCACCTACACCAGTACACACAAGACAGAAAGGTTACACCAAAAGGATAAATGACAGGTTTGTTGTATTCCAAAACATATCTGGCACAAAGTACCTCGCGAGTTGTGTTCTTATGTTACAAGCTTCATTGTGAGTGCCTGATGGACGGTGACTGGACACATGTTCAAGGTGTGGTATTATATAGGGCTCCGTGAACACAGAGCCTCTATGATATCGAATGTCGAGGAATGCAGTGTTTAGTATAGGACCCAGAAGGCTGATACCAACATGCTTTGTTCGGCGTATGGCAAGGTTAGACGTTTCTGTAGACAAGCTATAAGACTAATATATCTTGTCCGGAAAAGAATAATATTATATTTTACAGACAAATATGTTCCTAAATCATTATATTCCCAGTCTGGGGACCAAAGACTGTCCTCATTTTCAGAACTGGCAATCCTAACACATTCTTGGGCTTCATTGGGAATATTTGCTTCAGTGTCTGTATGACAGACTAACAGATATTTGTGAATATCAATATTCTGATGGCATATTATTATGTACGTGTGTCTTGTTAAATATTTCATATGTGGAAAACCTCACCTGAGAGTCTTATGCTGAATATTTATATAATTACAAGTCAGTGAATGTCATTACTGGATATCTCATAATATCTCATTACTGGAATTAGTGTTATGAACTTTTATCTACTTGTGTTGATGCATATCATATCACGAGGCACTGTTTATCTGTTTATCGTCCACACCCATTCTTCCAATTCCTACAGTTTGCAGACATTAGAATGCGTGTCTAGAGTGAAACTAACTGTTATGTCATTTGTATGACCATGGTCACCAATGATACCATCGGGATGACACGCTCTCAACCAAGTCACCGAGCCTGACTAGCCCATGCATTTAGTGGTATCTGGCAAGTAAATAGATTTCTGTGGACATAATTCAAACTCCAAGCGTGGCCAAGCACAGTGATGACTGAAGGAGCGAGGTGGTCAGGAGAACTGCAATATTTAGATGAACATACCATTTTAGAATCCCTGAAGCTAAATTTACCCACAGAGATAATTACATATAGGGCCGGCGTTTTAAATAGATTCGAGGTGTCGTGTTTGATGCATGTTTAATAGTACTGTGTCTTATACCGATCAACTTGGTAGTGAAACGATCATTAGCACTGTCTGACTCAGTCTCTACAGGTCGTACCACACAAGGAGTGGCTTAAAATAGTTCTGGACAAAACTGCGAAGGTTGTACATGTTGAGTGCACCGGTAATTCAATAAACCTTTAAAATTAACAACAAATCATAGCAAAACAAATCATCAAAGCACAACAAAACTATCCCCAGAAAGTAATGCACATCTACGGGTCGTATTTTTTGTAGAAAATAAGAAAATGTAAAAAACACGTGCCGAAACGATAAGTACAATGAGGAGTTTCGGTATTCGTGACACGGACAGTATGCGAGACACTCAAACTGATAAAAGTGAATCCCTGAAATACCACGACTGTCACCCATTCAACAGTATTGGACCCTGTGTATGATACAGATAGGGCCACGATGAAAGCTTGTTTTGGCTAACCTAGCTCAATTTAGGTCAATATGTCATGTCAGTATCGGTTGCTGTATGTGACTGTCATTTCAAATTATTTTTTCGTTAAAGCTTTCTTCTTTTCAATATATTATACTTCATGCACCTATATTTCTGTCTTTTTTTAACCTCGTTGATTTAAAAAATGTATCCGCCAGTTTATCTTTTCTGCTCTACCCACTTGTTCATGGACGCCGCCTACAGCCACTAAGAGATGTGCATGCCTAACGGATCAGGGGTTTGGTTTCTGGCTTATCATATATACTATTCTTCTCATCACAAGTTTAGACTCACTGAAACCAGTCACTATATGTTATATGGTTACATCAAAGATTGATTTCTCCACTAAAGCTTATGCAGATGAATTGCACGAGGATCATGCATCAAATTGCATGTGCTAATATCATGCATGTGAACAGCTGCGTTTTGGTGCAAAGCTTTGTTATGAATTCGCCAATTTTCACGATTTTTTATCACATATTGAACTCATGACAATAATATTTTCAACGTTACGAATTTGTTTTACAATACATCAGTTCATGTGTGAACAGTACCTTTAAACAGTGTGAAATATTTTGCAAACTGTAGTTTAGAACAGTTGCCTGAAGTAAGTGGTTATGTTTACACTAGTGGGTCTAAACTTTTGATGGGAAGTATATTTATCATTTTGTTGACACCTACAAGGCAAGGCACCCGTGAAGATTCGGGTTAGAATTGGTCTGCAGCAACCCATGCAACCCATGAGATCGGCCGGTCAGGCTCGCTGACTTGGTTGACACATGTCATCGTATCCTAATTACGTAGATCAATGTTCATGCTAATGATCACTGGATCGTCTGGTCAATACTCGATTATTTACAGACCGCCGCCATACAGCTGGAATTTTGCTGAGTGCGGCGTAAAACAACAAATTAAACGAACAAAAGAAGGCAAGGCTGACACACCAGGACAAGTAATCGCGGCTATTCTGGCCTCTCAGCCCACTGTTAGCGTATCCTAACATAGCTAAGGTGTGCAACTCTGCATGCATAAAGTATCCGGGAATCATAGAGATACAATTCAGACATATGAATACGTCAGCCATACGCCCTGTTCTATCATTTCATCTACACCACCGCCCCAGAACGCACCTAACCGTGACTAAACGCTAGCATAGGGAGATACACTGCTCAACGTTCATGATACAAAAAAAAGGGATCCCTAATGTGTAGACTTAAATCTACGTATGTAATTACCCCTATCAAAGTTCAAGTAGTATATTACCGTTACGATTGCTATGTACAAGTAGTCATTTGTCATCGTGTACGACATTTCAGTAAATGCTTACATCGTAATGTATAAAAGCGCAGATGCAAGGCTAGTGAAAATTTGTCATTGTACCCATCAAGGATATGAAAAAAGGGTGAATCCCACCAAAGGATTAGCCAGGTTTAGTCAATAGTTCAAAATTGTTTTTGTATAGCTTTACAAGTGTGAACTAGCTCTTTCAAACAAACATTCTATAAGCCCATATAGGCGTCAGTTTCATTGAATAAACTTACGTTGAGGGTCCTGACAATATTTGAATAATATCATTAATATTTGAATACGAAAAATGCCTGTCAAGAACGAAATAACGCATTCGCGAAAATATATTGGTTGTTTACATTGATTGTATAGACAGTGTGTTGATGTAAACGACATCTCGGTACGCCATTTCCTGATACAAAATCTATAATGTGTAATTATTGTACTAATATATATATTTTTTTAATTATCTATAATATCCTCTAATTTGTTTGTTTTTAATTTGCATGCCAGTTTCATCACGTATACGCAAGACAGTTGACAGAGAGCACGTGTTTCATATATACATGCTCATCTCCGCTTGATATGCAAACAACGCATATTCTAATCAGTCGTGATGAACATATTAAAACTGCCCACGATGATACTTCCAATACAATATCTGGCTGTATATTAAATACATCGACACTGTAGCTCATTTCACTCAAATCGATTTCATCTTATGTCAGGGCACCTGTCACCAGAAATCGACAAGCTGAATAGTGTTATCCTCCGGCTATAAACATTGTACATTTCTAAAGTCCTAATCAATATTATCGATGTATATTTCATGAGCTCCACCTACCATCAGTACTGGTATCGATTACATACTTACATTGTGTGTAGATCGGCTGACAAGAGAGCGCAGCTGCAACACTCATGGCGGAGAGTACATGTAGGTATTATGTACATGTCACTGTGTACTCCCTGTGTTAGTATGACAGAAAAAACAAGGCTCTTGTAATGAAATTGACATTATTTGGTTGGTTGTTTCACGCCGCACTCAGCACTATTCGAGTTATATGGCCGCAGTCTGTAAACATCGAGTCTGGACCAGACAATCCAGTGATCAGCGTCATGACCATCGATCTAGGCAACTGGGATACGATGACATGTGTCAACCAAGTCAGCGAGCCTGACCACCCAATCCCGTTTGAAAATCTGCTGCTCTGTCGGTGGATACAGACACGCTAAAAGTTAACTGCGCCCTTTTTTATGCCACTACTTGTCTTGGGTTACATACGGACAAACGCACCCACACACACCCGCGTAGGAACACACACACACACACACACACACACACACACACACACACACACACACGTGCACGCACGCAACACCCACCCACCTCGTGCACGCGCTCATATTCAATTGCAACCTACTGGGTGCTTTGTTGTTAACTTGGTTCAGTTGTTTCATAAAGGCATTTGATTTTAACCCGTGATATACTGAGTCAAAAAAGAAACTTCACAAAATGTAATTTGAAAAATAATGAATAATTTTTTTCTGATGATACATCTATGTATCCGAAATGGGATCCCTATCTTTCGACTCTAGAAAAACGTTAGCAAAACCCACTCAAACCCATCCATACGTCGTGCAACTGACGTCAGTGCCAAATCAGGTTTTGCACGTGCAGTCGATCACGTGATCTTCGCATCGAAGTTTTCTTCATATGCACGTGTTTGCATTGGCCTCAAGAACTGAAAAAACACTTTTAAACCACAGTTCTAACGGTACTTGAAATGCCACGATTGTCAAATGTGCAACGTGAACGTGCCGTTGGCATGTTGCAAGCGGGAAGATTAGTTATTGACGTCGCAAGATCAATGGGATGCAGCCGTCGTACTGTGTATGACTTGCGAGGTCGTCTTCAACAAACTGGCACCACTTCTGATCGCCCAAGGTCAAATCGTCCTACGTCACCTACGTGACAGATTTCTGCCGGCTACACGAACCAGGGCTGAGATGTTTAGAGGTCGACTGTCCTCACAGACCATTCGAAATCGGTTGCGGGCTGCCAATCTCCATTCTCGACGTCCATATCGTGGGCCAATATTGACGCCGTTTCATCAACGTCAACGTCTGCTGTTGGCCCAACGTCACCTCCGATGGACCCAGAGAGACTGGAATCGAGTCGTCTTTAGCGATGAATCCAGGTTTACCCTCAGATTCGCGGACGGCAGGCATAGAGTCTGGAGACGACGTCGTGAACGGTATGCCCAATGTTGTGTACAGGAAGTCGACAGATTCGGGGGCGGAAGTTGCATGGTGTGGGGTGCTTTCTGTTGGAACAACCGTTCCCGACTTCTGGTCATCCGTGGAAACCTCACAGCTGCAGCTTACCGCGACCAGGTGCTCACCCCTGAACTCGTTCCTTTCATGGCGGCTCATGGCCCAGGTCTACAGTTCCAGCATGATAATGCTCGGCCGCATACCGCGATGTTGACACGAAATTTCCTTCAAAACGCTGGAATCAACGTCATGGACTGGCCATCGAGGTCCCTTGACCTTAATCCAATAGAGCACGTTTGGGATGCACTTGGGAGAAGGCTTCGTGGTCTTAGGAACCAACCTCAGAATTTGCAGGAACTTGGCGCTGCCTTGCAAGAGCAATGGCGCAGGATCCCCAACCACGTGTTCACAAGCATCAGGCAGTCGATGAGGAGATGGTGTTTGGCAGTGGTGAACGCGCGGGGCAGCCATACACGATATTGAACTGAGAAATTTCGGATTTTTATTCTCGTGACTTGACATTCTGTATACCCATGTTTTGGAACGGCGGTGTAGCCTAATGGAACTGATTATGGCACTGTCAGTGTATCGACTACATCACACAGATCTCAGCAACGAAATAATAACAATTTAACCATCTTACCATCTCTTGTTCTTTTATAGTGCCCTGAAGTTAGAATGTGAAGTTTCTTTTTTGACTCAGTATATATAGCTGCAGAAGTCGCTGAAATATTTG